GAGCCGGCAGTCTCGGACCACCACGTGACCTTTTGTGTCAACATGACGCAAGCAACGAGACGGACCGGCCCATGCAGGGGGCTCAATAATGGAAAGCCACCGAGACTACCAAAACGTACCGCAGACTGTGACGTTTCGACCACGTGTTGGGACAGCACGGTGGGCGTTACTTCTGTGACGTATTGCTCTCTCCTTTGTTTCCTTTCTCTATTCATGAATCCGTGTTTATTGCGGAACGATTCGTTCTATTTCGCAGCAAGTCGTACATAAAAGTAAAGAAAAAGGTACGTCATAAGTGGACGCCTTTCAAGCATCAACCCTTTCAAACTACGTCAGTGGATGATATTAAATCATGCGTCTAGGCACGTAGGAATGACAACAGAAAATAGGGGGACTAATCAGGAGCAGCAGTGGACTGTTAGAGCCGTAAGAAGGTATACTGCTGTGACTCTTACCGCCCAAAATCTCATTTTTTTCGGCATTTGTGCGCTTTAACTGCGATCGGATTTAGCACTGAGGACCGCATAATTGATTGATTTGTGGGGTTTAACGTCCCAAAACCACCATATGATTATGAGAGACGCCGTAGTGGAGGGCTCCGGAAATTTTGACCACCTGGGGTTCTTTAACGTGCACCCAAATCTGAGCCTACAACATTTCCGCCTCCATCGAAAATGCAGCCGCCGCAGCCGGGATTTGAACCCGCGACCTGCGGGTCAGCAGCCGAGTACCTTAGCCACTAGACCACCACGGCGGGGCAAGAGGACCGCATAAGAAGCAGCGGGAAACGGCATCCAATTCCGGCCCCGCAACTTGCTGCTGAATGATTGCGTAACACGGCTGGTGTCCATACGGCGGCGTCCAAGGGATACACGCAAGCCGGTCTTGGGGGACCCGTGGCTTGAGTCTCGGGTTCTGCAGAGGCGACGACCCCCCTGGGCGCATGAATCGGCGTCTAGGCGGGCCACGCGCGCCCCAAACGAGTACGAGGGTTGCTAGTCTCGGTAGCGCAGCAGTTAGAAAGAAAATGGTAGTAAGATGAGAAAAGGAAGGACGGAAGATTTGCTAGTCTCGGTAGCGCAGCAGTTAGAAAGAAAATGGTAGTAAGATGAGAAAAGGAAGGACGGAAGATGGCCGCGCCAGCGTTTATGCCGATGGGAGGTTGCCATCTCAGAGAGCCAAACACAGCCGGCTAAATAAGGCCTAAACCTCCAGCTTCTCTAATTACAATTTGTAGTATTATCGAAAAAACAATAAATTGTATGCAGTATTTCATACTGATGACAATTTTCAACAAATTCTTTTCTATATTGAGTACAAATGACGAGGTCTTCAATACGAATGACAACACATTAGCTGTAGTACAAGGCATTATTGCGAATTATTTCACTCAGAAATACAATATACAGTGTGCAATACTCAATATGGCACACTGCTTTCGCCGGGCAAAACAATATGTTGTCTTCAACAATTCGTATTGACGACAAGGTTTTCATATACATTGGCTTCAATACACCTCATTGTCTTAACGAAAGGCAATACACTGTGCTTGATATTTCATATTAATGACAAGGTCCTCAGTACGGAAGGCAAAAAACCATCTTAATGATTTGTGTTGATCTCAACGCGCAGCACGAATGACAATAAATTGTCTTCAACACGGTCTTAAGCATCATCTATCCATATTCGTTATAGTACGATCGCCCTATAGTCCTAACGATCGAAAGCATGGATCTAACAGCGCGTCAAACTGAGCTCCGTGATGCCAACGTATACACTTAAGCGTAGAACTGGCGCTCTTTGGCCATCAAATGGATCTTGCGCCACACAGAACTTAACATCATCATACATCCAAGTGCATGCTACCAGCGTTTATCGTCAGTGACTAATGTCGTCTATTGTAGGTCGACTTGTGTATAATATCGGCCGGGGCTTCTTAACGTGAAGAAGCCTTGGCTAGCGATCGCGAATGTCGCCAGAGGATGATAAAATAACTGGTGAATGCTCGTTATCCGCTATTAATTTATTCTTCATTTGAGACGGCGTTGTGTAACTCAATAAGCAGTTAATAAATTGCGTGGAGGGCAGGGGAATTCGGAATAGTTCCCCCCGCCTAAAAAAGGAATTACAATGGCGCAAATATGGAGGGTGTTGGAGAGAAGACAAAACTAGTACAACTTAACACATAGGTGTGTATTACTGTAATCTCAATAGCATTCTTTTCTTTAAAACAGCTTTAATGGTTCTACAGTAGCTCTACAATAGCATGAAAGTTTCCAGTGTAGCGAAGAAATGTCTGTTTCCCGGCAGGCGCCTCAGTTTCAGCTCGAATGGAAGAAGCTAACTTGACCACGAACTTATAACTTGACCTTGTAAATGATTAACAGAAAGCAGGGTATGTTTTTAATTTTGAAAGTTTTCTTTCACGCCTTTTCAATCGACCGAGAAGAAATATAAGCTGAAAAAGAAGATTGCTTTCAATGCTGTCACTGTAACTTCTATTTAAGATAAGGGCTTTTGGCCTATCTGCATAGTTGAAAAACAATAATTGCATTCTTTCTATTTCTAAGTATCTTCGTTGTTTCTTTTTTTTTTCGTTATAAACATTTACTACTTGAAATGTCTAAATAATTCAAGTAATAAATTCTTGGCCAATCTCCCTGAGTGGGTATGAATCATGGTAGAGGCATCATCATCATCATCATCATCATCATCATCATCAATTGAAAGAGGATCACTTTTACCCTCTTTTTATTTGTTTCTTCGCCAATTCCCCAGTGTGAGTCAAGGAGTATTTCTTTAATCCTCCTTGGTGTGAGTGTGAGACATAGCTGTAGGCCATAATCATCTTCTTCTTCCACTAATCCTAGGCGAACGCATATACGACGGCTTGAGCATTTCCTCTTTTTTCACGTCAACATGACATTTACTGTATGTACATGTGCTTCGTTTACTGCAGTAAGCCGTTTGGAGAGAACATCAACGGTCTTAATGAGTGGAAAATTTGATATGATTACAACGACGACTCACGCAGTAGTTGTAATGAACACTGCCGCACAAGACAGACTGCAAAGGAGGCGGTAACGTAGCTACAACAGGAAAAAAAAATCCGAGATAACACAGCAGACGCAGACTCCGATAAGGAAATTCCGCCGCACAGTGGCACAGTTGGTTTGAGTAGCACTGCGTGATGCTGCCACATCTGCGTGCTGTGGTGAAAAAAGAAAAAGACATAGTAGAGAGCGCAGCAATACGCGCATCGCGTTCTAGCCACGCCACTGCTCTGTAACGTAAGCCAATGGAGACAAGAAAAAAAATATAAAGGAGTACAGCAATGTTTCGTCATGGCAGTGTTCATTTCAGTAGCCATAGGCAGCAGTGCAACTTTGCCCCCATGTATACCCTTTCCATCTCACCCCTCCAAAAAAAAGAAAGAAAAAAGACACAGCAGCAGGAAGCAAGTGTGCTGTTTTGCATTGCCGTTCCCCATACTTCGCACGTGCTCGAGTCTTCAGGTTTCAGACGCGCGCACTCGGGATTCAAGTCGGGAGCCGTCGAAGTTAGCGCGCCCGGACAAGCAACAAAGTTCAAAACACACACACACACACACGTGCAGTGGTACCCGCCGTCGTGAGCCGAAACGTCCCTTCTACAAGCGCTGCTCGCGCCCAGAGTTGCAACATAAAACAAAAGAAAGGCGAATCACATGCGACGCGGTGAAGGGACGAAGAAGAAGACGATGAAGAGGCCGTAGCACGAGCGAGCGGCGTTGCGGGATTGGTCGCTTCCTTCTCCTCGCGGGCGCCTTACGAGAGGTTCGGGACACCGGCTAGGGGGGCGGAGTTTGCGCACCAATTCTTGTTGCGCTACGAGTCCCAAAAGTTCGCGAGCGCGGAGTTCAACCGACTCTTCGAGATCTGCGCGAAGAGGTCGGATGCGTTCGATGCACTTCCGCGCTTGACGCCCGGCTGGAGAATCGTTGCTGTTCCCCCATACCGAGGATACCCTTAGTTCGTTCTCAGTAATCATGAACTGACAGGTAAGTAAAGCGATATAAGTGGCATAATCATCAAGTGAAATTGTTATTTCACCGTTTTACTCGCAATTCAAGCAAATGTGGCAGTACGATGAGAGTGTTCAGGGCAGGTCCCGCCATCAAGCATGCCTAACCATAGCTATTCCCAGCATTTCTGGTGATTATTTTTTGTGTTTTTTTGTTTTACTGACTTCCACAGAGAATGCCTAGAGCAGATGAACTTTTAAACAACACAGCAGGTACCCAATGAGATGGAAATGACAGGATTTGCTGGTCTAGGCACTCGCCATCAGTGAAATTGTTGAAATAGAGCGGACCTTTTACGTGAGAACGGTTTATGTAAAAGTATGAAAACGTAACATGGAAGATCTGAATACTGCATCAACTTGTGTGCCACCAATGGTGTCTTACAGAAAAGTATACAATGGACGTTGGTGTCCACTTCTATGATCGGGACCTTGACCCCATGCTCAACATTGGGTTGTTTTTCAATAGGTTGACTACACAAATAATGTCTGCGCAACAGGTGCCTAATATTGTCGGAAGAGATTGCAGCTGTCTCCCTTCACCACGGAAAATTCTTGGAAGCCTGGCCTACCAGCACACCAGCACAGAAATTCACAGGAGCTTTCCAGTGGCACATCAAAGCAACATAATTGGGCGACCGCTTGTCGTGCACTGCACTGTGGGTTTTGTGACATTCGTCTCTCCCTCTCTTAGAACCTTATTCCCCTCTCCCATGTTTTTAGGGTGGTGAACTGGACGTAGTCTAGTTAACCTCTCTCCCTTATTTCCTGGTTACCTGTTTATTCCGGTATCAAATGTTGGCACATGCTCATATGTTGAAAACTGTAATTTGCAATAATCTATGCAGCTTCCTCATATCTGCAATCTTCCTCGTGTATAGGTGTTGAGTTATAAATTTGGCAAGTAGTAATATGTTTTCTGTCGTGTCTACTCGCAGTCCAGGACCAGCAGTTCAAGTGCCTTTCGGAGCGCAGCCGACCTCGAGCCCGGCTGACCCGGTCTAAGGCAGTGACCGCGATGCACCTCGACCTGTCGCCATCTCAGGACTGTTGTGCTCGCGACCTACCCTCCTGCGGCGGCAACGGTGCCATAGTCTCGTCTCAGGGCTGCTTCGTGCCGAGCCCCTGCTCATCCTACACCTCGGGCCACTCGGCTTCTGTGCCCCACTCGGCGAGCCCCGAGGACCCATTCGACTGCTTCGCGGACTTCCAGGAGGAGGAATTCTTCGCTCAAGACGGCATAGTCGGTGACGTTAAGGACTCGGTGTTCGTGGCTGAGAAGCAGTCTTTCGGCGAAGACCTCAGTTCGTTGGGTCTTTTCGTTCAACACGATCAAGTGTTTGACGCCGCGAGTCCAGCCGGGTCCTTGGTCAGGGGCGACAACCTCGAGGTTCAGCGGTTCTCTCTTCCTGAGGTCGCAGCCACCAGGGAAGACGTCTGTAAGAGCGTGAACGACGAAGAGTCTCCCGTGGCTGCACTTTTCGAAGCTGACGAACAGCTGAGGATGGCGCCAGACGTGGGGTCAAGCTGCTCAGACCTGTCAGCCATGACCAGTTCTTCTCCCACACTGTCAACGTTCACCAGCAACCGCAGCTCTGCTAGATCTTCGTTCACTAGCCGTCGGAGCAAGAGGTCGCTGTCCATATCGCCCACATCTACGGACGGCATGGACTTAAACACCATCATCCGCTCGTCGCCCACCTCACTGGTAGCGTATCTCAATGGAAACCGCGGTCCTTCCTCTACCTCGGCAGCGTCAAGCCTGGCGACGGCGACCGCAGCCTTAGGTGCGTATGGCCATCTTTCGGCTAGACCATCCAGTCCACGCGGAAACGCACAGCACCGCATAAGCACGCCATACTCGCCGACGCTCCTCAAGATGGCAGCCAAGGAAGAACCAAGCTCTCCCTTCGACAACACTGGTTTTGTCCTACAGGCTATCGACGAGGTGGACCCACTGGTCGATTTCAGAGACTATGACTTCTTGGAACCCGAGGACAATCTGGCCGTTGTCCAGCAACAAGAAGCTGATAAAGTGCTACCTGTGGCGGTCGTCGCCGACGGAGCAAGCGAGCGCGCTGGTCCCGCATCGCAGGCCATCGGGTACGGCGAAGCGGTGGTCGACTCGACCCAACCCCTTCCCAGCGTGGCGTCCCTTCTCGTGGACCTGCAGAAGCCACCGCCGCCTTCGTACGACCAGCACATGGCTAGAAAGCTTGCCTTCCAGAAGATGTACTCCTCCGACAGCAGTCAGCCTTCTAACTACTCGAGCTTCGAGAGCACCGGCTCGGCGGACGCCGCAGAGCTGGCAGAGGTCGACTCAACGACGGGATGCGAGCTGTTTCCGCAGCAACCACAGCAATCCCAGCAGCCACGGTCGTACGACTGCCAGTGGATCGACTGCCGGGCGCTGTTCGACGACCAGGAGATGCTGGTGCGTCACATCGAGTCGTGCCACATAGACCAGAAGGTCCGAGACGAGTACACGTGCTTCTGGCAGAGCTGCCCGCGCCGCCACCGGCCGTTCAACGCCCGCTACAAGCTGCTCATACACATGCGCGTCCACTCCGGCGAGAAGCCCAACCGGTGCACGGTGAGTAAGCTGCTGCGTTACCTTATTTTCAAAGCATCCTCTATCGTTCATTTTCCTCGTAGAAGTACCGACTTAAACGCGCCCGTGTTGGGTGCACAAAGAGAAGTGCCAAAACACTCCTGATTTTTAACACTGGGCTAATATTCCTTGCACTATCAAATATGCCATGCTGACAATTTCCGCCATGATGGTGGAAATTGTCAAGCTAATCAAGCTAATTGGAGGGCGTACGAATCCAGTACGAAATAAGAACGTGAAGACTACGAATGTGCCAAAAGAGTTCAATATGAAATGTGTCCAGAAAAGCACTTCCATGTTCAAGGCAATCAGACCAGAGCAGTGGAGTACTTCTGTCAGTGGCGTGACGTAGTGAGCTTGCATATATGTAAACGAGAGCACGAACATGGGCGCCATGCCAGTGAAGGAACTGCATTATCGCCCCCAGTTGGACCAGCAAGGAAGCAATTTGTGCAACGCAGCAAGCTATTATATAGCTTTATAGCGACCCAACTCTATTCCAGAGGTCGCCGTAAGAGACTTCCTTCGATCATTCTACAACAACGTGGCTAGCCGCTTTTTTTATTGAATAAACTTTACTAAAAAAGTCCAGTAGTTTCTTTTGGGCCAGGCGAGGGGAAGAATAACCCCTGTACCTGCCCACCCTCCATAGATGATAATGTTTTTTTCCTCGTAATTATTATTGCCTATACCCAGATACGCGTCTAAGCGCCAATCGTTGGGAAAACGGGCAAATGAGATCTGCGGCAGCTGTGGCGTTAAATGCGCAGGAGCTCAGACGTGATGCGACGAAGCTGTCGCGTAGCGATACTCTTGAATTTCATATACTTCGTATGCTGTTGCGAGGTGTTTTACTGTTACCTGCCGCAGCCACCTCATTCTTTATCAAGACTGGTGAGAGCTCCCGGAATCACACATGGCCGCTGCTTTGTATGTTTTCACTACTATTGGTCTTGAGTTGCGATGCTGGTTAGACCTATCAGCGTCATCAAATAAATAGATTTAAGAAAAATATTGCCGGGGGTGGAGAGGTGCAAGTTTAGTTTATCACCTGACTTTTTACTGCAGGCTGCAAGCAATCATCATCAATCACCCATCCTCACACATGTAGCTGTTTTTGCCTTCACAAAAACGGCTACTCCTTGGTTTTTTTTCCTGTGAGTATCATTGGAACTCGACGGTTAAAAAGGTGTGAAATGTGTTATGGGAACTTCACCAGGCTCTGCTTGCGCAATGGGCGTGCAAGTACCGTTCACAAAAAGCAAGAACACTGATTAAAATAACATCTGAAGCACTTGTATCAAGCGCTTAGGATTCAATATTCGCTGCAAGTTTGTATACTATAACATCTGGCGCATTACCAGGGAGGACTGCGGATATTTCGATGACGGGCCTTTACGGCCCCTCCCGATTTTGCCTTCATCAAAATGTGGCCGCTGCGGTCTGGGATTAGATCACTCTATACACTATATAGCGTGAGCGATCGACGGGACACGAGAAAGGTACACACCCACCAAAGTGCTTGTCTTCACCAAAGTCTACAATCATCTAACAATTAGAGCTTGTTTGAAGTTTGAATTTTGAAGCTTATTTTATTTCTTTCTGATACAGAAAGAGGAGTAGGAGCTAAAGGCCGTATTGCCTGACAGAGGCTCCTGTACAAAATCTACAAAATCAACAAAGTCTTCACCAAAGCCTACAATCATGCTTTACCAACACGCCCAGTCTTCAACCTCAGCAGGGATTAGATCGCACGATTTTGGGTGAGCCGTCAAGCACCATACCCACTAGACCACCAACGTGGGTTGTATGCCACAGTCAGCGCACCAGCCGTTATGGCAACAAAACGCCGGATTCTGCTGCTAGCCTATCTCTTTTGAAAAGCTGAACACCCTGTGAACATTGCACTAATGTCTGTAAAGCATGACTGACGGAAGGTAATTGACTAATATGGCTCCGACGCGACGAATATGAGATATCAAAGAACACGAACATTAGCTGCATACTTATGTGACAGCGAAGAAGGATGTAAGAATGCCTGACTGGGCGTACCGGTTTATAATAATTAAGGTGCAAGGCGCGACGGCCACAACAGCAGACGGAGGAACAGTACACACAGAGAGCGCGATTCATTGCCTGGATTGTCTATGTATAGTCCGCACTCTTTAGTGCCTGCTCGGCTGTTGCCACAATCAACGATAAATCGATAAGAATAATCATTGAGGCCAAGGAAAGCAGGCGAAAAGTGCGTTAGGGCGAAAGTGCGTTAGTGTGTTAGTGCAGGCGAAAAGTGCGTCACCTAAAGGGTTACGTTACTTGAATGCGACCACACATTGAGGACCTGTGGCAGCGCATAGTGTGTGTATAAATACTGTGATCATTTCGAAATAGCCAATTGTTGAAAGTGGGCGCTCTGTATGTGTGTGTATGTGCTCTTGCACTGTCATTGGCGTACAGCCAGGGGGTGGTACACCAAACCTGTGTCCACCCCCCCCCCCTAAAAACTTTCTCGCCGTGGCATACAGAGCTAAAAGTTACCATCCCAAAAAGAAGCCCCCCCCCCCTCCCCCCAAAAAATTACTACCCCGTGTTTCACATCACGTGGGAGTGTACAAATCACAGCGAAGAGCACCACAACATGAATAACACAGAGGAACAATGGGAGGCACTGCTGTCCAGCTCGGCCGTTGCTGATCAGCGCTGGCTGGTACAACGGGTAGCGATGATGGCTAGGGCCAGCGAAAATTACTACCACGTGTTTCACATCACGTGGGAGTGTACACATCACAGTGAAGAGCACCACAACATGAATAACACAGAGGAACAATGGGAGGCACTGCTGTCCAGCTAGGCCATTGCTGATCAGCGCTGGCTGGTCCAACGGGTAGCGATGATGGCTAGGGCCAGCGAAAATTACTACCACGTGTTTCACATCACGTGAGAGTGTACACATCACAGTGAAGAGCACCACAACATGAATAACACAGAGGAACAATGGGAGGCACTGCTGTCCAGCTAGGCCGTTGCTGATCAGCGCTGGCTGGTACAACGGGTAGCGATGATGGCTAGGGCCAGCGAAAATTACTACCACGTGTTTCACATCACGTGGGAGTGTACACATCACAGTGAAGAGCACCACAACATGAATAACACAGAGGAACAATGGGAGGCACTGCTGTCCAGCTAGGCCATTGCTGATCAGCGCTGGCTGGTCCAACGGGTAGCGATGATGGCTAGGGCCAGCGAAAATTACTACCACGTGTTTCACATCACGTGAGAGTGTACACATCACAGTGAAGAGCACCACAACATGAATAACACAGAGGAACAATGGGAGGCACTGCTGTCCAGCTAGGCCATTGCTGATCAGCGCTGGCTGGTCCAACGGGTAGCGATGATGGCTAGGGCCAGCGGAGCCCTGGATTAGGGGCCCGACCATTTGGAATGATCCACGGTATGCGCAAATAAAGTTTCTCTCTCTCTCACCTCGCTGCTCTCTGTCTGTTGTCGGGGGACGACACTTTAAGTAAGTGAAAAAGGCGCGCAAGAGTTCAGAGTGCGCACCATAGGTTCACTGAACGAAGCGCATCACGTGGATGCGAGCACGACAGCGACGCAAAAAAAAAACAAAAAACGACGTCAACAACACAAACACGGGCTGCGCAGCCGCACCGGTGGCGCCGCTGAAGATGTAACGCCTTTAGGGACGCGCACACCAAACCACACATGTGCCGCGTCGTTTTTTAATGGTCCCGAAGTTCGCGACACGAGATGCGGAGGGGAGACCTCGAACCTCGCCTATAAAACACTCATCACGGCTTCAGTCCGACGCCTGATACGAACGAAAAAGTGGTTCTTTCCATACCTTTTATTTTAAAGCGATTACATGTTCTTTTCTTAACTTTTTTTTTGCAAATGTCATTTTTCACAAGCCCTCCTAAGATGTAAGTAGGAGTGCCGTAAAAGTGGCGTCATGCAAAGAGAACCACTTGATGTGCGTGTAAAGAACAGCCACCGCTCAAGGGGCAAAGAGTAATTCGTTTTCTTTTTGAAGCCCTTAAATAGTCATCTCCCCTCCGTTAAACAGTCCATTTGCTTCTACCATTTTCATGTTGCGACGGCGTTGGTGCGTGTGAAGCACCGCCTCGGGCCGGCTCCGTGTGCGTCACCCTTCTTCCTAGCATACCAGGAGGACGGCGGCCGTAGCACCCAGACTCGATAAAAAAGAAGAGGTTGGCGAAGAGAGGGGCCACGTCGTATCGCGTTACGTGAAAGGGGCGCGTCGTCATGGCGTCAAGCAGTGGCAGCAGCAGGTTCTTGAACAGTAGTGGAAGCGCGGGGAGGGGCTGGGGGTACGGTAGGGTGGTGTCGGGCCGGTGGTGGTAGCGAAGGTCTTCTGGGGGCTGAAGTTTGGGCTCCGACGTGTTTTTCTCTTGCAGCAGCGAGACTCTCACGGGCCACAGCGGTGGGAAAGTCTGGGACTTATTACCACGCGTGCCTGCGCATTCAGTGCTCTGCTGCAATGCGGCTTACACGTGGATGCATGCGAAAGTGTAGTTTGCCGCTTCTGGGCGGTTCGCTGTATAGCTTCCTATACCGCGCCAGCAATGACTCGTCGTCGTCGGAGCCTGGGAACTCGCTGTGCGGAACACATGGCGTGGCTAATATGACGGGTATGAGTAGTTAAGGTAGCGTGTTTCGTTGACGACGACTGTTCTGTAAAAAAAAAAAAAAAAAGAGGCTGACGTTCCCAATGGCTGCGGTTGGCAGGAAAAGAAAAACGTCTGTCTGTCACGGCCCGCGGAAAGATAGTATAAACATTTCCGTGTCTTGGTGTGACCCACAGCGCATGTCAGAAACAAGCCGAAATTTAGATGCTTCCTCGCAACGTCATAGTCTAGACACAGTCTAGACATTGCGCGTCACGCATGAAGAGGGATAAACGTCGTGTGTACCCGTAAAGCCATTTGGCAGTATATATGGTGGAGTGAAGAACCGCCAGTTGTGACTGGCTTCTGGGCACCTCTTTTTTGAATAGTTTTGTATCAGTGGCCATAACAAACGTAGAGGATCCTTTTTACATCACGAGTGATAATCGACTCGCCCACCTTTCCATAGTGCTTGCAATGACAGCTCACGAAGAGTCGTTCGACAGGATAAAGTGTAAGAAAAGGAGTTCGACTTTTGTAGAAAGACTGGCCTCGTTTCGTGAGTCGATGTGGAAGTTACATTTTCCGGCGTTTGCCGTTGGTGTTATTTTAGCTAATGATACAGCCGCTGTAATAAAATATTGTAATGTCCCAATGCTCGTGCGCCTAAACATTAGAACATTCAGAATAAAATAGGAACTATTTTTTCTTACTCGTGTTTCATCGGAAGTTTCATAAATATCAAGGAGATGGGCCACCCACTTACTGGCTTATAGTACGGCGTAGCCTGGACAAACCAGTCTTTTTCAGCCAGCAGGCTGTTTTGACCTTACAGTAATTAACGATCGTAAGAAGCGGCGAGTGCTAGCAAGAATCACAATCCTAGAAAATTGCCTTAAAGTACGACGCACTAAGCAATACAGAGTGTGCTCCATACTCCAAAGTGCTAACACTGCTCCGAGCACTTTGAGTGCACAGCATTTGAATGCACACTCTGTCATCAAAATGGTGCTCCCGATATTGTTTTTGTTCATTAATCACTTGACTATACACCGGCCTTGAATACAAAGTGGAGTTGCCTACGTCGATTTCATCTCTTATCGCATTTAGAACAGATTGTTGCTGAGAAGGTTAGTACAGAACGTTGAGGAAAAAAAATTAGACGACTAAGCCCAACCAAAAGAACGAAACAGGCACAAAAAAAAAAGAGCGGCCGTTTTTTTTTTCGGGAGAACAGAAAATACGTAAGCCACAACACACATGTGCCAACAGCATTTTTTGGTGGTCAATCATTAAACATCAATCACGAGGGCATTGTAAAGCCCTTTACAATCCAACAGAGAAACACAAAATAAAAAACCAGACTCGCACAAAACCACACACATGTCACTTGTAGCACACAACTCTTATTTCTAATGCTCCATTTTTGTACCTCCTTCTCCTCCTCCTCCTCATTATGATGGTGCTTAGACGTGTAAATTTTCTTCCAATGTTGCCACATTATCGTAGAAGCGTCCTGTGCTCCCATCTATGTCGAAGATGACGCCAACTTCCATAGACATCCGCAGAAGCCATGAACTCTCCTTCAAGACCTTTAGGCCGATGTATTGGAACAGGCCTCACACGTCGTGACAAAGTGGGCCGTTGCAAAAGTGCTGATGTGGTTGCTGAAGTCAGTAATGCTGAGACTGTCAATAAAATAGCCACGAAAACTGCTGGTTCCACTACCCATTATCACTGCGTTATACCCGTCCTCGTCATTTCTATAAGCTTCTCCCCTTTTTCTGTTCTAACTTGGAGCAGCCAATTACGGTTATCCTTACTGCCTTTTTTATACGCCTCTCCAACTCTCTCAGTATTTGGAGAGAGCGTTCCTTATCACGCAGTACTAAATTCCATCCTGCTTTATTGTGGTATAGCTAGTATGTTACCGTACTTTTGTTTGTCTTGTTCGTTAGTTTTGTGCGCCTAATGATTTTCTAGGTGTTAACGCATCGTCAGAGTCGCGGATCAATAAACCAGTTGGAAGGTATACCGCTCACGCTGTCGTCTTTGCCTTCCTTCTACCCCAACCATTGTTTCCTTCTACTCTGGGTCGCGCTGAGCATTCGGAGCATCATGTGTTGCGACTCGCCCCTACGTGCTACTCGTGTGGCACATTCTAAATGCAGTGCAAACTCGGGTCGGCTTTCACTGTGTTACTGACGGTGCACGCATGCGCGTCTCGCAGTTCGACGGATGCACCAAGGCCTTTTCCCGACTGGAGAACCTCAAGATTCACCTTCGTTCGCACACGGGTGAACGCCCGTACTCCTGCCAGTACCCGGGCTGTCCTAAGGCGTTCAGCAACTCCTCGGACCGCGCCAAACATCAGCGAACACATCAGGACACGGTAAGGTCCTCCCAAATATTGAGACACGTCAATAATACCGGTGTCGTGCGGGCACTTGAGATCGCGATAAGGACCAATATAGATTAAGCTCTATCCAGTTCAAGGGCTGCTGCACGATTGTTTCTAATCAAAATCAAACTCGATTGAGATCAAGACAATCGGTGCATCTTGATTTGGCTGCGTGATCGTGATTTGGCTGACGTTGCACCAAACTCGATCCGGATTAGATTGGACCGTGTAGCCATAACAAGCATTTTGATCGTGATCTGGAAGTTTGATACGGACTGGCCTTAATAGTGATCAAAGTGCCAATGTCACACCGTTATACGAAGGGCGGTTCTTTGGGATAGTGTGCGTTTCTTGATGAACGAGGGCCGAGAAATGCATGACATGTTCTAGGTCGGACATGTTCCCTTCGTTTGGTAGCGCTTGTCCACGTCATACTCTTCCCTTACAATCGTCCATTCCTTGACATCGTTTACTACAGACGTGTCGAATTGTATTGTAAATGCGAGAAAAAGCTCATTGAGCATGCGTTATTCGTCCACCGTTGACGTGAAAATGTTTTTCTGCGCACGGGCTGACCGGGATAGGTATGCATACGTATTTCTGTAATTAAATGGGTTGTTAGTGGCACTGTATTCTGTGTCCTCCCCTGAGTTTGCGTTTATTTTCGTGCCTTAATTCAGTTATGAACGTACACAAACTCGCCCAAGAAGAAGAGTTCTCATCTTGCGTATTTCTACATCTCCAGAAGCCGTACGCCTGCATGATTCCTGGCTGCTGCAAGAGGTACACGGACCCCAGCTCACTACGAAAGCACTACAAGAACCACCTCTCCAATGAAGACGCAGCGAGAAAAAAGGTGAGGATGGCACATAATGCTGCAAGAGAGGAAAATAATTTTCAAGCTGGGCCACAGACAGGCTTGTATCTCAGGGCGGGTGAGCTTCAACTGAACCTCACCCGCACCGACAAATAACTCTGGCTATGGCTATGGTCGTGTGTGTGTGGGAATTAGTTGCATCGTACCTCGATACAATATGTAATGTACGCCATGTGGTGAAAATAATCCACATTCATACCCAGGAAGAAAACGTCACCTTTCTATGAACTGTTTTTCAAAGATAGATAGATAGATAGATAGATAGATAGATAGATAGATAGATAGATAGATAGATAGATAGATAGATAGATAGATAGATAGATAGATAGATAGATAGATAGATAGATAGATAGATAGATAGATAGATAGATAGATAGATAGATAGATAGATAGATAGAAGCACATGACAGTGAAATCGACGGCATTACAATTCTCGTAGTACAATACGCCGTATCAATAACCTAGCTAAGTGTGCAACGCTTGCACGGTACCACCAAAACGTTTCACATATCCATCACTCTCTTCGGGCAACCGAATCACTAGACAATGAAGAAACGCAAATGACCTCGCAGTCGTTTAAGCAAGACAACTTATTACTGAATAAGAAAAAATACCAAGTACGTTGTTTTCACCTCTAACCGAAAAGTGCATACCTGGAACACGTGGTCTGTTCTGCGGGGAAACACCCACTGATAAAGTAAACGCATACGCTTACCTTAGTGTAACATTAGACCATTCACTCCACTGGACGTCACACGTAGACAAGTTGTGTAGAAAAACTAAGCTTTAGATGCTTTACACTATTTAGAACTAGAAACTATTTTAGCGCACACGTACTCCGCATTTTATACTTTAACGTTTTTCATTCTGACCTAACCTATTGCATTGACCTATTGAACTACACGTATGCCTCATATTGCTCGGTCATTACTAGTTTGCAAAAAAGGAGCTGTACGAACGATTGTAACAGCAATTCAGCACCCAAGAATTCACCATCAGCTGAACTTGTCAGAAATCTAAACATAATGCCTTTTATTATCGTTAGGCAATTCAAAGGCGCAATATTAGTACAAAAAATAATGAAAAATAACGTACCCTTTCACGCATCTATTTTATTACAACCCAGAGGTCATACTCAGAATGCCGCACAACAATATCTTAATCTACCGATAGTACACAATGTCTACGACCGTTGAAGAATACCCTTAATTGCTGTTAAAATGTGAAACGATATCCGTACTCTAATTAAATGCCTGCCAAATATGATGCAGTCACTCAGAAAACTCTTTCTATCGTGGAGTTACCACTTGCCATATTAATGTCGTTGAAATGAACGTACATGTTACATTATTTCTGTTCTTTTTTCCCCCTAGAAGAACGTATCTAGTTGTGTTATTTGTGATGGAATTATGCGTAAATTTCGTACTCGCTAATTAAACCACAAGATGCATCGCTTGTAATGAATCCTTAACTAGCCATATCAGCTACGGATCCGTGTGTTTTCGCAGAAATGTTTTGTAAATAATTTCATTGAAAAATAAGGCATTCTTCTTCTTCCTACCGACCACTATTGAGCTATAGAACATGCCACCCAAAAATTATAGTTAATGATCAGGAGTTCAATAAATCAGGGCAAATACTTTGGTGTTTCTTAAACTATGATTCTACCACTGTACCCTCATTGTTCATGCAGATACGAAGCGAGAACGAGCCCAACTCGGTAGGAAGTGGCAACCCAGGAAGCATGGCTGACAGTGGCCTCGATCCAAGCCTGCAGCCGGCGTATTCGTTACGAGACAGACCTAAACTGGAGCACGCTGACAGCGGCATTGGACGCTCTCCGGGTGCCAGCTCCGTCAACGACTACAGGCCAGGTGGGCCACCACTCGATGTGAAATTGTTGATGTTAACGCCTTGTATGCCCCGTGAGTGCAGACGTTTAGAGAGATTTGGCGGGAACTGACGATGCTCCGCGAAACTCTGTCGAGTCCGCTTCAGGTCAGTTGGAACGCGCGATTGGGTGTCAGCCTCCTCTAGATCACTTTTGTATAGTATGTTCATCTGATCACGAGCTTCGTCTTAACGATCAGGACCCCTTGGTCATGAGAATGAAAAGAAAAAAATAACGACTGAGACTTTATGAGCATGCAATACCTAATATTTGACGGTCATTCTTTACTAATGAGAAAGTAAACGCCGTATATGATGAAAAAAAAAATTTGATGCAGCGACGCAATTCAAAAATTTGTAGGCCTGAGATATGAGACCAGTTAGAGGAAGATGTGTAATTCGAAAGAACATCGAACCTGCCTTCCTCTTGTAAACAACACAGACTCATCAAGAGAGGATGCAAACATCCCCCCTTCAAAAAAAAAAAACAACACAAAACTCGGCAATGCGACTGCGATATAAAAGTAAATAAAGAGACAATAAATTTATGTAGAATATACATTCCCCATAAAACAAAACTAACGTCTAAATTTAAGCAGCCTATGGCGGAAAGTTTGACGATTCCTGGAGGGTGCGTTGTTGACTTTTCCCGGGGCAGGTGTTGGAATTCCGAGTATGGACGTTGAACCAATACCTCTATCGTGACGGTTTTTTTATATTGTAATTAATAATAATGAAGAGTACGCACAAGACTAGAACACTCGAAAGCTTCATTAAATACAGCCGCGCACGAATATTACGAATTCAGATTTACAAGGTTCCGTGTGCATTTTTCTATGACGATTCGAAGGTGAAACTCAGTCGACTGTACTGATTTAAACAATCCAACCCCCCCCCCCCCCCCCTTCACCACGCACACACAATAACAAAAGCTTCCTGCAACCAACGCGGCTTTACAGAGTCTCCAAGATCGGCCCACCTTGGTTGACCAAGCTACGATGTCACGTGACATCACCGCGTGACATCATGATAACGCCATATTGAGATGCCATCACGGGACAATGATCATTTATATTTGCCATGTTGACGCCGGCGGCCACTTGTCGCGTTTGATGAGCCATCTATAGGCTCTTGAAGAAATGGGGAGGGGGTAGAAGCCATAGTTTTGCTAGCTCGTCGAACTGCAAGTGATATATTTTGCAATGTGCATTGCAGGCCCTGGGTCTAGGCTGCTTCACTTGAGCCACAGCGACAACGATATTCGTAGCCGCTCGTCACCCAACAGCCGTTACGCCCGGAGTCCAGGAATCTCGGACGACAAGTGAGTGCCTCGCATTCGTGAAGCGATATCACTCTTACAAGTGTGTGGCCGCGTTTGTATATACGATGCCCGTTTCCCGTTATTGGCGGTGACAACTAAACACACATAGGACGTAGTCACGAAACTGCGCCATGAACACGGGCACAAGCGCCGATGTACTTAGCATGACCACGGCCTGGATGGAGGCGCTGGCTTGCTCCTTCGTTTACGAGGGCGAGTGTGCGCTTTCAGCCTTGGCCGCAATGATGACTCGTGTGTACTTGAACGATTCACAATTTGCATAATTCATAATTTGCCGTTTCATAAGTATGAATCCATACGAACTCGTCCAATGGAGAGACCTACTTATATTGTAGGACAATCGAGGTAAAAAAAACTCATAATTCCAAGACATGTCCCTAATGCAGTGTCTGGTATCGGCCTAACTTGTCGATTCCCCTCTTTCAAAATGCAACGGCACATGCGCCCTTCCCCTAGTGGCTTCGTCTCGGAGGATTTCACTCTTGTAACAACAGTTGTCCCGGCCTATATGCAATCTTAATCAGGTCTCGCTAGAAGTGCTGGATATTGCCAGGAAACGGGACATTTTCCCGCTGAGGTCCTGGATATAAACGGATTTCAACTACGACTTCATCAAGGGTGTACCAAAACACAACTAAAACGGCAAAGCGCATCAAAAAAAAAAAAAATGAGAAAGACGTATCGGGCAATGTATTTTACGAAGCAGAGCCTGCTTCGACACGGGACAAGACTGTAAACGTAAGCAGTGAAAAAGAATAGTAAAGCATAACACGCATTTAAGTGGATCAAGAGGGCTAGAAAACATTGCTTGTGACACAATTAGGCAACGTAAGACTTGTAGTGGTTCCACCGGGTACCGCACTAAATTTGTCAGCCGCTGTGCTGTAGCGGTTAGGGTGCTCGGCTGCTGACCCGAAGGTCGCGGGTTCAATTCCAACTGCGGCGGTCGCATTTCGATAGAGGTAAAATGCTAGGGCCTTGTGTGTTGTGCGTTGTCAGAGCACCTCGAGGAAGACCAGATGATCGAAATCGTCGTAACCCTCTACGACGTCTCTCATAACTATGTCGTGGTTTTGGAACGTAAAGTCCCATCTATCATTAGAGAGTTTTAGTACTGCGTAGGCTGCGTACGTGGCGGCGTTGCGTACGTAAGGATGCCACATTCTGCGTAGTGCGCATGCGCAGACTAACGCGCACGTATCGCGTTACGTACGCAGCTGCTATACGTACGCACGCATGAGATGCGTGCTTGCGTACGTATGAGGTGATCGCGCCGTTCTCGAACAAATTCGCGACAGCGCGAGACTTCGTTTTGCAAAATGGCGGCATCGAAGGCAAGCACCGACCAGCTCTGTGGCTTAAAATATGGCCATAATCTGGCTATAACACTTGGATTGGCTCACATTGGCTGTCAACAACACGTACTTCTATTTTGATTTACCAGATGACGCAACACGCTTCACGCTCGTTACGTACGCGGGTACTACGGCGTACTAAAAGCCGATTAGTGGCAAATGACGCCACGTAACGCAAGGCGCTTGCGTGACGCGTACGTAGCACCATTCCGCAGTACTAAAACTCTCTATTATTACTGCACTAAACTTGACGTTGACCTTCATTCAGCGTGGAATTGGCGTGAATCAACAGAGAGGGAGAGAGAGAGAGAGAGAGGGAGAGAGGGAGAGAGAGAGAGAGAGAGAGAGAGAGAGAGAGAGAGAGAGAGAGAGAGAGAGAGAGAGAGAGAGAGAGAGAGAGAGAGAGAGAGAGAGAGGTGAGACAATAAACGCGGCACTGTCGTCGTTCGAGGTCGTTCCAATCGTTGAGTCGTTCGCGAATGTAGTACTTTTCTATAGTATACAAGGACGAGAGTTGTGATCGCTGCGATTGCGTGGGCGCGCAGACTCCACCCTCAGGGCTATCCGATCCCTCTCTTCCGGACGAGCTCCTTCACTGAGACGAGCCTGCCCCGCAGCCCTACGACCAGCGTCCTGCTCGAAGTGCCTCGCTCGGAAGCCCACTTCACGTCCACAGGAGGTGAGCTCGCGTTCTGAGACATCCAACTTGTTTGTCTTTCATACCTTTTTTGTACATCGTCTCGATCATACCATACAAAACCCTGCAGCGATATGATTATTGTAGCATCCAGTATGATGCATTATAAAAGAAACGTTTGAGAAGGCATCGCTTTGGTCTTCCGCATTGTTTTTCTCTTACGTTAAAAAAATATGCCCTGCTCATTGTGCATCGTGTAAGAATGAAGTTTAGAAGCCAAGATATTCGCAGGCTCGAGGATACTTGTCTCCTCATTGAATAGCAAAAGTAAAATGCGTTCTAAACTGCAGCGATGGCAGAGTGAAAACGGAAACGCACCTCTAGTCGAGATTTCGAATCATCGCACGGCTTGCTGCCACAATAACATCAAGTAGGTTTCTAGTGCAATATATTTAGAGAGGATGCAAAGAGAATGCACAATAGCAGCATTGATTATTATTGCTCATCGAAGCTCATTTCAAAGAATGTAATCAAAGACTTGAGAAGCATAACGCAGGAGAATCTGTTGGCTGGGCCTGTTGGTACGTACTTGAGTAAACGAAAGAAATCAGCTTACGGATGCGTACACAAGAAGAAAAGACGACGCAACCAGGCTGCTAAGTCCCCTAGCGGACAGTTCCAACATACGTACGTAGTCTTCTCTTCTTGTGTACGTGTGCGTAAGCAGTCTTTTTTTTCCTTTCTTGAAGAAGCATAACACTACAGTTAAGAAATGACAAATAATGTCCTGCATGCTTTACTAGGCTTGATTGTCGGTTTATATAGTTGTGTATAATGGAGGAAAAAACAAGCCCCTCAGACAATACCCCTCGAACGTACTCGTGTTCCTCGGACATCTCTGATTGCGATCAAACCCGATACGCATCGAATTCTTAGCCGTGATTGGCTCCCTTCCGCAAGTAGCATAAAATGGCCAATCATGATTAAGAAATCCACCCGGAACAGGCTTTATTACAATCAAAGGTGACTGTGTGACACAATTGTTAAACGCCGAATAGCAGAACGCTTGTTTATGGACTATTTTATGACAGTAACGCGAAAATAAGTTAACGCGAAAATGAATTAGCGCGAAAGCCTCAGACGCCTCATCAAGCGTAAAAATTTACCGTGCGCGTCGGGGTCAGCACGAGTAATGCAAAAAAAAAATCGTCAACTTGTCAAATCACCTTTGACGTAATCATGGCGTCACATAGTGCAAACGCTCCTCAGACGTCATTATGACGTCATAGTTTGAAGTTTGGTAAACGTTGGGCCGCTCCAGGAGTCGCTGCAAAAGCCCCTTGAGTTGAGAAAAGCTTGCAGTACCCGTGATCACGGAGGCCATGCAAAACTTCGTAAGGTGCATTACCTAGCAACAGACGTTATGCACAAAGAAAGTGGAATTTGATGAATGTTCTCTACGGCGTGGTCTATACATGTACCACTCGCGACCCGCAGGCCAGCATTACTCGCTGGAGGTCCCCGTGCCACCGCAGCAGCGCACGTCATCGATGGACCAGCAGGAAGATGACATCCAGGAGGCCCTGGCATTGCACAACATGCGCCAGATGCGACCGCTGGAGCACCTCGGGGACTCGCTCAGTTCCCGAGAGGACTCCGCCGACGAGGCACCGCCACTGCCCCTGGACCAGCAGCCTTTACCTCCGTTTGACGCCTTCTACTCATCCTGCCTGCTTTTCGAGGATCCGTCACACTTCGGAGGGTGCGTCTCTGTTGTCCAGGTGCTTTCGCGCGTGCATTCGTATCTTATTAGGTGTTTAAGCGGGAAGACACATAGATGAATATCAACTAGATAGGAAGAGATGTTGGTGTGGTCGTTCAAGACGCCCTGTCTCGTACCACAAACATTGAGGGGACGGGAGAAAGTAGTTTAAAAAGTAGTTTAGGAATATAGTAGAAATGTTACAAAGATCTGTGCGAATACATGTAAATGAGAGACGAAAGCTTCTTGAACTCGGGGTTTCACCGGGGCCAATGTTTCAACAAGCAATCTTTTCTTCAAAGCTACGATTGTTATAGCCTTGAAGACAAGACCACTTGTCTAAACGTCGGCTTTGGCGACACACCGTATGCAAAAATTTTTCATCCCTTCAAGCTCCCATCTTCCCCAGAACTTGTGTCTTGTCTAGCTGTAGGTAAGATGCATTTAGGTGTGACAGATGAAAATATAGTTCTGAAAAAGAGAGCAGAGGACATGGTTCACCATCTAAAGCCCAAAGAACTGATAAATATGGATTTATTAATCGGCAACACATGATTTCGCTTTCTTTCCCATTGTGGACTCTTGAACTCACCATATACGTTTTAACTCCAATATTGTGACGTTTTTAGTCTTTGAAGGCTGACAAGTATCTTCAGTATCCAAAATAAATTTTGGGATTTCACGCGCCATGCCCACAATGCATTTATGAGGCAAGCCATATTGGAGTGCTTCGGGTAATCTTGAGCACCTGATTCTACTTAACGGCCACTGACATGACACGGTACATGGGCCTCCAGAATTTCACCTCCATGTGACCGCTGTGGCCGGGATCAAACCCACACTAGTGGGGTCGGCAGTCAAACGCTGTAAACATTCTGAAACAGCAGCGGACGTAACGGACAGCTATTGGTGGACACAAAATGAAGATATAAGAGTTTTCAAATGAAAACAATAAAGGAACTGTTAAAGTTTAAAGGTGCCGGATTACGCATGGGAGTCTGGAGGTGCCAATATCCTACTCTCCCCTGTTCTCCTGGTCACGTTAAATGACCCTGCTTCTGCGTGACACCGGAAGGCAAACTTTTGACCTAGAACGGCTTCTTTGAACAGTATTCAACGGAGCTAACACTGATTCCATCAGTGGAAGTGAAAAAGAGGGACAAAAGGAAGACAGACGAGGACGTCCTTGCCTGCCCTTCCTTAGTTTTTTTCAGTTCCGCTGGTCAAACGAGTGTTAGATATCACCGTGTCTGTGACGAACTATTCGCAGAACGACGCTCAAGTGGTTCTTTGTTTTCCTCTCTGCTTGCAGGGTGTCCTGAAGACAGCCCAAGTGCCACGTGGCGCCACGTGCAGAAGTTGTGCGGGAAACTTAATCCAGTCCTCCGTCCAAGGACACCAAATCTACACCACGCGACCCAGCCGTCGGACAGAGTGCACTCGCTGCAAAGTGATTAAGTCAGTGCGGTGACCATGCCTGCCTAGTTATCCCGGTGAAGTGCTATGGTGGAATGTATGCTGTTACGACACGCCCTGGCAGGCAACTATGGTGCAGTTGGACAGTTCTCGCACTGCACCGGAAGCCGCTCGAAACTTTAATTCGAGTTTCCCCCAGAACAGTCTCGCGCTGTTAATGTTCTAGTATTTTCTTTGTAGATGTCATCAGGCCGTGTGTGGAGCGAGCATGCCTCGATAGCGTATATTTTGTATCTTGACGAAGAGCACGTTACCGGGCGGTAGGCTGCCTGAACCAACTCCTCTAGAGACTATAGGAGTGAACGCGAAATGGTCTTTGTTGGAGGGGAAGTGCTACAACGCAGAACGTCGTCAAGGCTCACCTCAAGATACCGAGATAAGTGTCTCACACCAATGACCACCAAGAAATGTTGACGGATATACCCTTCGGAATAAATTTGATGATGATGAATCGACCATGACATATAAGTGGAACCCTACATAACAACAATATTCACAGCGAAATTCATAGTAACGTAACAGAGAACGCGATTTATGTATTACGGCAACACGACAGAAACTGAGTATATAACTCACACGTACATACCTTTTAAGAACCTATATGCCCGCGACCCCTATGTCATTCTGTCAGTTTTTTGCTGCTCAGAGTGTCGTCAATACAAAACTGAGCACGCTAAATACCACTTGGTAATAAAAGTTCTTAGTTAAGCATACGAAAAGATAAAAAAGAGACAATTTTTTACCTTCCCCAGGTTTGACAAGATGACCGAAGTACACACAGGTGGGTGCTTTGTAAAGCCGGGTTCAAATTGCTGTTGCATCTGTCCCAATATTCGTTCGCGTAAAGGCTATGTCGTCAGTTCGCGTAGCTAACGACTACGTATGTTCACATCATTTTAGGTATGATAATTTTTTTTAAGGACGTGCGAATCATCACCCGGAACGTGCGTTGCGTCATCGGTATACCATTGTATCCTAGCGAGGGTCGCGTTTTCATCATTGGCTGGGTTGGCTGGATTAGAGGAGAGACGCGACGAGCGCTCTCATTAACGCACGTAGCCTATGCCCTCTAGTCAAGCAAACCAAATGCACAGACACGCTACTGTAAGGTTTTCAAGACGCGCATGAAGACGCGGTAACTGGGGAAGCCGGAATCCCCTCGAACGGTAAGTGTAAACCGAAACTGCTTTTCCCATTGGCCGCACGTAACGATCGCATTGGTATTTGTCATAAAATTCGCGGGCACGGCAACATTTACGTCCATTACGTTACATTCTTTACGCCAAGTACAAAGACATAATACCACGACATCTGAATGATTGATTTGATATGTGGGGTTTAACATCTCAAAACCACCATATGGTTATGAGAGACGCCGTAGTGGAGTGCTCCGGAAATTTCGACCACCTGGGGTTCTTTAACGTGCACCCAAATGTGAGCACACAGGATTACAGCATTTTCGCCTTCATCGAAAATGCAGCCGGTGCAGCCAGGATGCCCTGCGGGTCAGCAGCCGAAAACCTTAGCCACTAGACCACCGCGGCGGGGCGACATCACGACATCTGAGCACGCTCTTTACGTTGCTTACGTTTCCGTTTACGGTCCTTACCGACGATCCGTCTACGTGGTGCACGTAGTCTATGCACTTCTTAAAGGAAACTTGAGCTTGCAAGAAGATTATAGTCGCATCCAGAGGCTGCTGCTGTTGTCTGCGGAAGGGCTGTCAATGAAATTGGCCGATAAACGGTCCAGCGCCCCATCCCCCACAACGTTCCACACCACGCTAGAGGAGGGGGAGAAAAATAAACTTGGTTATAAGAAACCATCAGGTTTAGGTGGCAGGGCATAGGCTTCCCATGAGGGGACGTCAATGGCTCCATGAGGGTCTGAGGAGCCCCGCTCTTGATGACCAAACCTGGGCGACCACGCTAGAAGTTTTATTTGATTTTTGAGATACTTACAGCGGCCATGATGGGCAATGATTGCACGGGGAGCTTCCAAGTTTGCTACCAAGTGGGATTAGCTCATCCTTTACCAACTCGCTTACAATATACTGCTACCATCCGCTCCACTTTTCGCGATTGTCGACACCACAGCGTTCATAAATTCTTGAAAAAAAAACACCGATATTAAGGCGATCGTCTGAGATACTCCATCAAACAGAAAATTGGACTGACGGTGTTGAGGACAAACGATGTAAAAAAACAAACAAAAAAACGCGATGACCAGGCGCGTAGCCAGAATTTTTAGGGGGGGGGGAGGGGGTGCACCACATTGATTTTTGGAGGGGCACCCCCTTAAAATGGCCTGTTTCACTCTGTACGCCACGGCGAAAAAGAATTTCAGGGGAGGGGGGGAAGGGGGCACGTGCCCGGTGTGCCACTCCCTGGCTACGCCCCAGGTGATGACGTTGCCATGGATGCAACGACAACGTCACAGGTCGCCAAAATGTCGTTGTGACGTCATGAAGAGGTCACTGTGACGCGACATAACGTCACACAATGACATCATCGCACGAAAAGTAGCTTCGTGCATGGTCAAAGGCAAACACAACGTGAGGTGCTTTCGATCTTAAAAGCAGTGCAAATACCACGTTTGGTGTTTGGAAGGGTGGCGGGACAGGATCACTACACCGACTTAAAAAAAGAAAGAACACAGATCTCGACTTGCAGTCATCTTAAGTTAATCCATAAGGAACCCTGTGTTAATTTTGTAGCAGGAAAGTTTCATGACGGACGCTCATACCGTAATCGGGCCAAGTGCACATCGCCTTCTTTATTGCTACCCTGGTTTCGGTTCTCGATGTATGCCCCATCCATGTAGTAAGGAAACGAACTACTGTGCGGCTAACATTAGCTGTTTAAAACCATGTATTTTTCTAAATTTAACCAGACGGGACTCTGGCGCTGCGATCGTTCAGCGACCACGGCAATGATGGGTAGTGCACGGATTTGCCTAGTCTTCGTACTGGCGTGTGGCAAATCCACTTGTGGCTTCGTTTATTGCCGTGTTTCGGTTTCGTTTTGAAGAAAAGATCGAACCATTTTGAACTTCGTGACCCGATTTGAAATGGTATAAGCCTAAGAGGTTAAGGTGGTGAAGCGTAACTGCCGAAGATTAGCCAATTGTTTCGTGACAAAGCAGCTTCAATCCACGAGAAGCCAGAATAAACGTAAAGTACGAAGACTAGTCAAATCCGTGCACAATCCATAATTTCCATGCTCGCTGAAGCGCCATACGTTGCAGCTGCTATAGACACTAGCGCCACCAAAGTTCCCTCTAGTGTCTATATAGGAAACTATGTTTAAAACTATACTCTAGAATGCGTACGGCAAATACCACCGTTGAGTACCCACTATGCCGTAATTACACCTGGTCCCACTATGCGTCCGCGAGGCAACATGCAAACCAACAAAGCTGCTTACTCTGTTGACGCTTCGATTGCTGCTCATGATTGAATATATCTGAGCGCTTTGTGATCTTTGGGTCTTTGAAAGTCCCCCCCCCCCCTCCCCGCTTTGCGCAATTCACGTCTTGTCACCTGGCGCTTCTCTGCGCTTCTGCCACGCAATAATACATGAGTTCCGAAAACCACTTTTACTACGTGACATTCATAAAATCTTTTTTATTTTCGATGCAATTTGAAGAAACAGTGTGGCTCTGTGATTAAACCCTTGCTTGGTACGCAGACGTCCTGAATTCGGTTCTCACTCGGGCCCGAACCCTTGTAATTTATTTTGTTTTTCATCTTTATTCTCCTCGCTTATGGACATGATGACTTTCTGATCACAACCAACGACGCAGTCACCGATGCCGACAACACATTCCTCGAATTATTCTTTAAGGTAAACAGCGCGAAAACCGAAGACAGAGAAGAAGGAAGACACAGGACAAGCGCTTAAAAAATGAATCGTTACCAACTTGCCCAATTTTCAATACTGCTCAGTGCATTCCTCGAATGCTTGCACATCCCTGACCCGTAGCGCAGACAGACCACACTTCCACATGGTTAAGTGTGAAACTCGGTTTGATGAAGACCACAAGTTCGACAGATAGCAAAGATGGAAACATTGCTTGCTTTACATGTAGTTTTGCTATTTCGTGCGCAGACTATAGATCCCGCAAGTCATGCGTAAGACACCAAGCCAAGGATCACGGAAGCTTGAAGAATGTGGTGCATCATATTTTACTCTTTGAAGTAATGCCATTATATATTATTGCCTATGTTCTCTACCAGTCTACACGAGCTCACCATGAACCTTAAAAAAAAAAAACTTCCAAATAACCCACTGCCGTGTAAACACACGCAAGACGAGGCTGATTAAAATGCTTTGATGCGACTAAGTTGTGTGCAACTGCCAACAGAACATTTCCTCTAAATATGGGACGTATTGAAGAGCAATGTGACGGGTAAGAGTAAATCGAGTAAACTTGCTGCTAGTGGAGTTTGTTGACCCTTATAAGGAATGCAATTTACAGGGCAGCGCAACAACCGGGGTCCTTCAGAAAGATGGAGACGGGAGAAAAACTGATTTTCAGGCTCCCGATAAAGCCATGCGGCATATGCATTGGCTGGAAGCACGAGGACTCTTCCGTTATCTTGCGGTGGCTGTGACGTTTTCATGCATGATTAAGCCTACGTTCATATTAACAGCCTCGAGCGACATTCTACCATGACGCGTGTCCGACCCAGGCAGCATCGTCGTCTAGATTGGAGAAAGAAAGAGAGAGAGAGAAGTAAACGTTTATTTGTGAAAAAGTGCCCCGAGCAATGCCCGGTATCACGCTGAGGTGGGAGGGCGCCTTAATCGAGGAACCCTCTAGCCTTACTGCCCTCTTGGCCCTGGCGACGAGTTGTTGTTGGTCTTTTAGGTCCTCGAGGGTGAGTTTCGCCTCCCACGTTTCGGTTAGGTCTTCGTTCGTCCGCCCTGCTTCATTATCAGTCGTGTGTTGTTGCAGATTACGTTTGGCAATACACCGGCATGCAAGAAGCAAGTGTGCCAAGGTGTCTGGTACCCTGCAGAAGAGGCACACTGAGCTATATCTCGTTGGGTAGAGATGGCGCATTGGGGCCCCGTGTGTTTATGTGTTATTTGCAGGCATCTCAGTATCACGCTTTTCTCTTGTCAGTTTTGGGTGAGGTGAAGGAAAGGAAGGCGTTCATTCACCGAAAGGTGTCTGTGGTACGGGCCAAGTGGGTCCGCAAGTGCCATCTAGCCCTGCTTGCTGCTTTCCTCAGTTCAGGACGCCACGGGCAGTTGCCACCCTGCGTGACCTGTCGATCAACCTGATCTGATCGTCAATGCTATCATGGCCAGTAACTCCTCGCACCACTCCAACCAGCAAGAAGAGGTGTCTGGTGTCAGTGTCAGCTAGCGCCTGATTGCGGGAAGAACGAACCACTGCAGCAAGAAGGAAAGAAACAGTAATTATGCAGGCTGCTATGGAAGTTCACCCCATGGACCGATAAACACGTCGACAATAACCAGCAATAAAGGTGTTCTGAGGACAACAGCTGGCAGTACTCGAGACAAAATACTAGAGCATCTCTATCAGGTACATGCGCCGAAATTTAGCCGAAATGTTTGAGGCGAACCACGAGTCCATATCAGCTACGACAGGAAGGACCACAGGCATCATGCAATGACAAAAGGGTGCCGAGCATAGTCACCGGCCTTGAGCGGTATTAAGAAGATTAGACCCGCTCACGCGTCCACCCTAGTTCGACTGTGGTAGAGGCGAATCTCATAGAGCCCTGCTGCCATGCCTTACCCTTTTGGCCACACTTGCGTGTCGTCTTTCTCCATTGGTCAATTCTCATGCACCTCTCCCCCCCCCCCCTTCCCTTCCATGAGTATGACAGTAAAGTGGAAACACGCACACGTCACGTTTACCCGCTCCTTGACCACTATCACTCATTGCGGCGACAACTGAACCCAAAATTAACTGCGATTCCCCAACACCACCAAACAGGACTGGGAGGAGACTCTGCTGAATAGCTCATAACTATAGAGGAACAGATGACTTTTCTAGGGGCCCGGGCACAGCTTCGACTAATGACGTTCCGTAGTATGGATGTCGACCAGACCACTGGAAAAAACAGTTATATAGCACCACCAGCTTCAATGAAGCTTTCTCCTCCCCATCCTCGTTCCTTCCTATCCCTAAATTGCACATTATGGCGTGGAAAACTCCAGCGCATGCTGCCTGCTCTGTGGAGGGTCACCACTTTTATTCACGGCCCACGGTTATTGAACGGGCACACAGCTTGTCCTCGAAGAACGATTGAGAGATCGTTGCCAAGAGTTTCCTTTAGACGCAGACTGACGAGCAGTACAAGTTCTTCCGGGCAACCGTACGGCGATGTAATCACGTCGGAGCCAATCAAAATAGTAGCACCAGTCACGCACACGCTGGTGAAATGCTGGGGAATTCGAATAGACACTCGCAGGAGCGACAAGCAGAGGCGATAAACAATAAAGAGGTAAGCATTGCGCCTACATTTTTCTTGTTGATGATGGAAAAAGATCGGAGGCGGAGCTTCTGCACGTGTAGCTTTACGTCCAGTTTTGCACGAGAAAAGCGATGGCTGTGCACGATCGGCATTTCATATCGACGCAGATGCCACGTAGCGTTTTGTGGTTCCCGTCTTAGAGGAAAATATGGTGTGCGTAAAAGGAAAACCTTTCTCGTGCGTCCAAAACGCAAGGTGACGACGTAAAAAGTGAAATGAATGCATCCGCTTTACAGGTGTGTGTCCTGCGTTCTTTCCCTGAAGGCTGAATGTAGAAAATAAAGGAGGAGTTTTAGGGCCCAAGCTCTTAAAGCCGGGGGTCTGTCCAAGCACGCCTCTTAGTGACGGTTCGTAACCACCTAGTTGTATGACTCCCTCTGCAGGTGGCGCTAGTTTAAGTGACAGACAGATGAACGGACCGAAGCCCGGACGGACGGACTCACGGACGGCGGGACAGAAGCACGGACGGACGAACGGAAGCACGAATGGACGGACGGGCGGCCGCACGGACACACCAGTGCCTCCTCTATTTGGACACCCGGACGGACGCTTCGCCCCACTCATCATCATTCACTCCATGGGTATGCTGTAATTTTTTACACTTCACGTCAAAACACGGACATAATTGTGGGACTACATTCGTTGGCGGTGGGACACACTAAATTTGGCTCTGCAGCTTTCGTATTATTACCGACAAAAGTTGTTCGCGAATATAGCAACGTCATATCATACAACATACCATGGCACTTTTTTTTTGCTTTGGAGTATATGTAAACAACCCGGCGTCTATGGTATACGCTAATGATTTAAACGGTAATCACATTCACATCACAAAAAAAAAACAGACGCAGACACCCATTTAGTACCAGTCTTGCGTATGAGTTCCTTACTTGTGTTTGCGAGTTTTTTTTTTCGGGTGGGGGGGGGGGGCTGGGGTTGGGGGGGGAAGGAGGCTACGAATGAGATTTAAAAGAACAGACTGCTTGGCGAGTTGTTAATTCATCTCAACAGAGCTGCGCCGTGTGTCTTCCTTTTGCACATCAGTTTCTCGCGCACCTCAGTTAAGAACAAGATTACAAGTGACCCAAAACCAACTAGCCCGCACCACTGCGCTGGTTACGAGATGGGTCACGAGAGCCCAATGCACGTGTCGCGAGGCGGGCGAAAGCGAGGAAGGCAACGAAAATGTCATATCAGCGTTCCTTATACGTGCTTCCATTCAACGTGGTTGCCGCAGCTGCCGCCAATGCTTGTCGAAGAGATACACTGAACAAAAAATTCCCCTAACACTCGGCCAATGCCCTGTATTAGGTAGAGCAATGAGAAAATGTGAAGAAGAAGAAGAAGAACGTTCGGAACGAGCCCCGTGACGAGCACGCGCAGGAGGATCTCTGACCGAAGCAGCGACACGTCGTTAAGAGCCTCGTGGCGTTTGCGAGCAGCGTGCAAGAGCGTCTACCATCGTCACCATGAACAGCTCGACCGGGCCAGGCGGCAGCTCACTGTCGGGACGCCTCTTCGTGGGAGGCCTCGACAGCACCATGACCCGCGATGACCTGGAGCGCGAGTTCGGCAAGTACGGCCAGCTCAAGGAGGTGTGGATGGCGCAGAACCCGCCGGGCTTCGCGTTCGTCGAGTTCGAACACATGTCGAGCGTAGACGAAGCGGTGCGCGAGATGAACGGCGCCATCGTCAATGGCGCGCTGCTTCGGGTCGAGCGGGCTCGAGACAAGTCGAGGCCGGCGCGCTGGGTCGCACCTAACGGCGGCGGGGTCGGACCCTTCCGACCGCGCTTGCGCCGAGGGGGCGGCGCAGGTGCCGCGGCGGGATCGTACCATCAGGCTGGCCTCGAACGCAAAATGATGCGTCGCGTCCCGGAGTCGACGGCCGCGCCCAGCCCTCAAGAAACGACGGCGCCGATGCAGGCTGGGTACACGGACGGCGCCGCGCCCGGTGCCCCAGCGTACGGCTACGACTACGCGGCGACGGCAGCGATGGCCGACCCGTATGCCGCGCCACCAGCCTACGCACCGGGCTTGCCGGCAGTGGCGTCCTGGGAGTCACCCTACGGGACCACTTACTACGCCACGCCAGTGACGGGCTACGCGGCACCAGCACCCGGCTACGCAGCACCAGCACCGGGTTACGCAGCACCAGCACCGGGTTATGCGGCCCCGGAACCGGGTTATGCGGCCCCGGAACCGGGTTATGATGCCCCGGAACCGGGCTACGCGGCCCCAGAACCGGGCTACGCGGCCCCAGAACCGGGCTACGTGGCCCCAGAACCGGGCTACGTGGCCCCAGAACCGGGCTACGTGGCCCCGACACCTGGCTACGCGGCCCCGGCACCTGGCTACATGGCTCCGGCACCTCGCTACATGGCTCCGGCACCTGGCTACATGGCTCCGGCACCTGGCTACGTGCCGTACTACGGCGAGTACTACGGCATGCCGGCGAACATGCCCAACTTGGCGGTGGCTCCAGTGCCAGTTGCAGACCCGGTGGCGGCACCCTACCAGCCACCTCCCGACTATGGCCAGGCGTAGGTTCCAAGAACGACAAGAAACACCTGCCGTGCCACGGGACAGGAACGGTGTTAGTGTGTGTGTGTGTGTCTATGTGTGTGTTGTGTGTGTGTTTGTGTTGTGTGTGTGTGAGTGTTGACATAAAAAGGAAGGGTCTCTTGCTTACATTCAGTTACTGCTGTACTCCTCCTCGCCTCCCAGCTGGTTCGAACACATCGTGTGACAGCTGGAGTCTTCCTTCGTTGACCTATACGCTGTTCTGTCAGAAAGTAACGCCTCTCAGCATTGCTCAGTATACGCTTTTTTTTGCTAGTCGAAAACGCCCTTCAGTAGCACGATACTGCTCGCTGTTCGAATGTGTCAACTCTATATAACGCATCGCAGCATGTTACAGTAGCCATCGGTGTAACGTCCTCCACAGCACAGCAAAGCCTGCCTATATAGTCTGTTACAACCTTTAAAAAAGCTTAAAGCCCCGTCCTACCCGAGTGGTGTATAGATGCTCCATCCAATCCTACTAATTTCCATTGCATCAAGAACTTTTTGCGTGTTTGAGGTACCTTGTGTCTACATACAGTTGACATAAAACCACTGGCCCGTTTAAGACGCTGACAATGTCTCAAAACCTGGACACCATGCCAAACTTTACGGCAGAGAGAGAGCGAATGAAATGAGAGAAAGGAAGGGTGGTAGATTCTGATAAACTACCGAGTCTATGACGTTTGAAAGTGTGATGAAATTTTATTTTCCCATATACATAGTGTCTTTACATTTGCAATTAAATAATGGTTTAGCTTTCATTCATGTTCTACTAGCACAGCTCTATGGCGTATGTGAAGGGCATGGCCCCTCGGTTCTGTGGACGGAGTTAATTTTTTGGGGTTGTAACAGACTATTCGAGAGACGCCTCTTTAACGCTCATCTTGCGTGTACAGAACGTTTTAATGTTCGACAGTAACGTCTCCTGGCGTACCATAGCACGTCTCGCTGCACGGAAGTAACGTCTCGCTGTACCGATTCTTATGTTCCTTCCCAAACGCACATCTGTTGCAGAGTTAACGTGCCACGGGCCTGGTGGTTCGTCTCACAGTAACGTCTCCAGTACTCGCACGTAAGACAGTGTTTTTCGGAATAACGTCATTACACAGCTAGCAGGACGTCACGTCATAAGTGCTCTGAAGTAACGCTCTCGAGTGCAGCACACCAGGCCCGGGCTTGATTGCGCTGAGCGTGCATTAGGACCACCCGATTCAGCAGTACATACACATATTTCTCAGCAACACAGACAGCAGATCTCGGCAACAACAGGACAGCGAAGGCGACGCACCAAAGCAAAGGCGGCAACGGCACTGCGACGCAAGCACCGCAGCTTTGAAAGTGTTGTCTGCAGGGCTACAGAACAGCTTTTCGGGTGGCATCGACATGACGGTAAGCGTTCGCCCGGCATGTTATCGGTAGCGTCTCGGGAGCGTCCGATCGAAACAGCTTGAGCGTGGCCTCGCCGATTAGCTCCGGCAGCACGTTGTTGGAGCGTTACAGGAGCCGGAGAATTTCATACCAATACATCGACGTATGGCACGAGTTAATCGAGGAGTCCACGGCGCGGGCATGAGAGTCGGTGATTCAATGAATATGCCGTGCGAGATAAGGAAACGTCATAGTAAGGAGCTACGTTGTTGCGTGACCCATTGACTTTGCAGGCGGTTTCGTGTGCATCGTTGGAGATATCATAGCAGGGGCCATCGGTATTATATTAAGGTGCGCACACAGAAGATACTTTCTCACTTAAGGGAATATCGCTCATTACAACGAGCTATACAGTGAAGTCAGCTTTATCTGGACAGATGCTGCTCAAAGTGTACGTTACTGCCCCCCCGCCGGCACCCTCCCCCCCCCCCCCAAAAAAAAAACCTCGAAGTATTCGCAAGTTTTATGGGAGGTCAAGTAATCAATTGTCATTTCGATGCGTTTCCTTTCAACAGAAACAACACTTTTATTTTACATTTATTATAGCGCTTGCAATAATACAGTGCAACAACACTGTCTCTAAGCGAGCAGCATCATGAAAACGCATTTCTGAGAATGGGCAAACGCTAGCTAGAAAAACGCTTTAAATTTAGCTGTAATAAGGACCTCTGCACTACCCCGTAGCTTTACGTCGCAACAGGTTCCTTGTATTGTGTTGAGATAATAGACATTCATTGACATGTGAGGTTTAACGTCCCAAAACCACCATATCATTATGAGAGACGCCGTAGTAGAGGGCTCCGGAAATTTCGACCACCTGGGGTTCTTTAACGAGCACCCAAATCTAAGCATACGGACCTACAACGTTTCCGGCTCCATCGGAAATGCAGCCGCCGCAGGGGTGATTCGATCCCGCGACCTGCGGGTCAGCAGCCGTGTACCTTAGTCTCTAAACCACCGCGGCGGGGCTGAGATAATAGACACATTTTGTCACGCGTCCGCAGCAGCCATACGGACGCAGCCTGCTAGTCACTTGCAATGGCAGGACTCTACAGTATCTAGAAATTATAGTGAACTAGAATATGATCTAGTGGCGCGACAGGCTGGGCTCCGGCGTCAGCTTTCACGTGGTCGCCACAAGGTGGCGCCACTCCTATTGTTCATGCCTGGTGGCATACTTGTCACCACCCCGTTATAAAGGGGACGCTCATAGCATCCAGCATCCATGCCAGCTTCGGTTGCGTTGTCGGGCCGTCGCAGGCTCCTGCAAAGCTGCAGCGGTGGTTACTTGGAACGCGCGTTTGCTCCGTGCTTCAAGTAGACGTAATATTACAAAATTAGTTAGTGGACAACCTGAACAGAGCGTTGGCATTTGAGCTCCAAACAACGCCTTCAGAGCCCCCCGGTCACCGCTTCAGCAACCCGGGGCGAAACAGTGACAATCCGTTCCCCACTTTCACAGACTCCACCACGGTCCTTGTGCAGCAGAGTGCAATGTCACACGTGCAGCAGAGTAGCTGGTTATTGAACTGATAATGCAATACTTCGGCCTGCAAGAGACGCATCGGCTTCGCTTTTTTACGCTGTCCACAAGAGCGCGGCATGCGTCCCGCAAAAACAATGATTGATAGGCGCACACACGGACTTGGGGAGGATAAACAAACGCGTCCCACGTACAGTAAAGGACCTCCCTCTGGCCGTCGCTGGCCCACTCGTCTATATCACTCGGGCAAAAATTTATTGCGAAAATTTGTTAATGACAAGAAAGCGACAGCATTATGATTCCCGTTTGTGGTATTGGCCTTAACGCGTACTTCGAAATGCACGTCTCAAATAAAAGTGACGCGGAATAACACGGCACTAGATGTAGCGCAATACACGAAAAAAAAAAAGGCAGCATATTTACTTTTTCATGTTTTGTTGGGCTGCCACTATCCCTTAGCATAGCCCGTATCCACCCGTATCCACGTCTTTCCACGCATTTTGGTCAGTCGGAAATTCAAATGCATACACACGCGGCCAAGATTCACTGTTTCCACAGAAATGTGGACACAACACTTTCTTGGCACCACAGCTGCTCGAAATCTGGGTCACTCACCAACGAACACGAGCACAAACAACCACAAGCAGCTCACAACACAACTCCCAAGAGCTCCACGGTACACAGAGAAGGATGCAAACATTCGTTGTTTCTCGCTGAAGCACAGTAATGCTGCAGGGACCGCAACGCCGATGCGAACGCGCCGCCGAATGCCGACGTCAGGTTGCGCTGTGTGCCACCAGAAGCGCACAACGCAACCAGCGTCGTCAGCCTGTTGACATTTGCGGTAGAACTTCCGGGCCTTGACGAAGTTTCTTCAGGTGGCGGTGGCTCAACACGCCAAACTCGCACACATATTTACGCACCGATCGACTATCGCGCTATCCGTGCTATCCGGAGAAGACGCCGTATGTCATGTGCCCTCGCCTCGCGCACATGACATGAAAAGACACAGTGGCGCCGCGAGAAATCCTAGTGGCCGTCCGTGTTGTTTAGACCGCCGAAACAGCAGCCGCGGCCCGCCGGTCGCGCCACCAGATTATATTCTGGTTCACTATACTAGAAATATACTAGGCACTATGCTGCTAGGGACGCGCAACTAAATCTGTCTATAAAAAAAAAATAAACGCCAGGCCTGCGCCGAAGGCGCAGTACAGTCATAGCGAAAGTTAGAAGAGCGGCCTTTCTGAGAGTTTCACTCATTGGGTAACTACTGCAAGCACACTTGCTTGATACCCACTAGGGCAATAATAGATTTTATTTTTTAGGTAGTATTTTGAGTAGGCCGGCATTCGCTATGCTATTCTTTGTCGCCCCGCCACGGTGGTCTAGTGGCTGAGGTACTCGGGTGCTGACCCGCAGGTCGCGGGATCAAATTCCGGCTGTGGCGGCTGCATTTCCGATGGAGGCGGAAAATGTTGTAGGCCCGTGTAGTCAGATTTGGGTGCACGTTAAAGAACCCCAGGTGGTCAAAATTTCCGGAGCCCTCCACTACAGCGTCTCTCATGATCATATAGTGGTTTTGGGACGTTAAACCCCACATATCAATCAATGCTATTCTTTGTCAATCTTCTGAGAAGCATGGTATCTGCTAAACACACGAAAGGAATTTATGTGCCAATTGTTCATGCAGTGTCTGATGACGATGAGAAATTCTGGCTGAATTGAGTATGCGCCACCATTAATAGGGGAACAAGAACAAGTTTTTGTAATGGGTTGGGGCATTGGACGGCCCACTCGTTACGCTATTCGCATTGTGCGACGACTGGTTGTTCTTCCGCTGTTTTAAAATGCTTTATAAGTCGTATTAACGCAGTTGCTTTGGCGACATCAAGCTTGCCTAAGGCAAGTTTTCCAACAGGTCGCATGCATTGGTGTAGCTCAGTTTGATGCACATTTGTTTGTGAATGTTGTATGTACACAGGCAGTAAAAAAAAAAGTTGGCGCATATGGTGTTGTTAAAAATATCTTTCCGGACGTCCTTTCTGAGACGGGAAGTTTATACGAGCTCAGA